GAGAAGTCCTGCTGTAACCATACGGAATACATTTTTTTCACATTCTGATGAATTAAAGTTAATTGCTGATCTTGTAACTTCTCAGCATTTTTGTTCAATTTACATACAACATCTGCTTAAAAATTACAGGGATTGACTACAGGGAAATGACTGGAACCGATAAGCAGCAGCCCAGGAACTCTGACCAGTAGCTATAATGTCAAGCCCTGGATCAAAGGAACCACACAAGGCAACCTGGGGTTTTCCTTGACCATCAGTTGAACCCATATCTTCTCCAACTCTCCAGCTCCCCTTCATCCTATCACAGTGTGCTTGCTACCAGCAAGGTTAGTAAAGCAGTTCTGACACTGAAACTGCTGGTTTGTCTAGCCTGTTGAATATACCTGCTTCCCTGCATTAGCACACATATTCTGGTTAGTTGGCTGCCCAGCATGGAGCAGCGTAGGCCCCCATATTACCACTCCTAACAGAGAGCATATGCCCTGATGGCTAAGGGTGCAGGATCTCAGCCTGGACTTGGATGCAGCTCATCTGGTGCTGTGACGGAGCCTTGAGCAGGTCTTTGGCATCTCTGCAGACTGGGAGGCCCAAGTGCATCCCCTTGGTGGGACTGTTCCAAGGATGCCCTGAGGTCACAGGAGCCAAGTGCTCTCCAGAAGCATTGGCTGCGGTCAGAAGGATGTTGAGAGCTCAAGCCCAGGGTCTGAGCACTGGTGGGCCTGAAAGACACCGAGACTGATAGCCCAAGGCCTAAATCAGGAGTGGGAGAAAGGGACTTTCAGCTGCACAAGCTACGTGGACAGGGGCAGGCAAGCTAATTCTTACAGGGAGAGTGACAATTTCCCAAGCAGTGTCTCTTTCAAACCTCAAGAGCAAATTCACTGAGAATCCACAGACAGCATCTCACACCCATGTTGCCTTGCAATGACTGGGTCCTCACGCCTTACCCTGATCCTGCAGATAACTTTCAAGTCCCTCTGTGCTGTCAGAGTCAAGCAGAATGACAAGGCCACTGGAAACCTGTGGTGCACAAAGTTTTGCAAATGTGACCCTAGGCTTTCTGATGGAAAAAAAGGAAGTCTGGCCAAAGATCAAGCAGTTGACTAGCAAGATGATAAATAACCTTTGCCTCTCCATTTTTCCATTACCAATCTTGGGCCTGTCATATTTTCCCCTCTCTCTTGCCTGAAAATGTACTGTGGTGAACACACCCTGTGTTTTTATCACTTGTTTCCATAGGTTTTTAGTTAATGTTTCATGAGAATATCAATTAGTGGATTTTGTGTTTCCAACTGCAGGTTGACTCATGATTTTGAGTTCTATGAGTAAAGAGGAAAAGATGAGATGACACTTGTGACTGGAGGAGGCAAGCTCATGAAAGCTGGAGAAGAACCATGGGCTGTTTTTCCAGTTTTGTTGGCACTTGTTTTGAGCATAAATTCTGACAGCATGCAGCATTGGGCTATTTTAGTCAGATGTCTTCCCTCGAAACAAGAGACAGCCTACAAAACTGTTAACCAATACTGCTCCAACAGTTCTTAGAATTTAGATATTTTTATATACACATACACACAAATATCATATAATTATCTATGTCATGTGTTAAGTGCATGTTATACAGACCATGTTATTTGTCATGTAACCCATTGTTGTATCATAAATAGGCACAAAAAAATAGAAAAACAACACACCAATGTTAGCCTACTAATGGTAATCTAAGACAACAGATGAACCCCAACAAGAGAAATGCAGGTTCCAAGGTCTGACCATGGAATGCATGTGTCAAAGCTGAGCCTCCTCAGTGGCTCAGACAGAGCAGTAGACATCATATCCAGGTGACATGGAGGATATGGTAGTACATTGAAGTCTGCAGAGGACACCTGATACCACAACAGAGAACAGAACAAATTGGTCACCTAGCCCAGCCAAGTGTTGGCAGTGAAAATCTGGGCAAGTGGAGACGCTAAAGTGGACTATGTCAGCCAGTGGATTCTGAAGATTTCATTGTGATTGGAGTGGCAAGACTGGCAGCAATTCAGAACAGCTGAACTATCCAAACCACTTCAGCAGGACCCTCAGAGCTTACCCCACATCAGGGACCCCATTGGGATGGTTGGGAGGGTGGGTGTGGCTTCTCTCTTTTCCCCCCAGACACAGGAAGGAACAAAGAGAATGTGGAAACAATGGTCTTACTCACTTTCCTCTAGCCCTTGACCCTTTGAGCCCTAATCAAGTATGTAAAGATCATCAAATTTTTAAAAAACACAATAGATGAATTAATAAGATGCTATTTCAGCAACCAGCAAGATCTGAATCTATGCTGTGATAATGGCATTGTGGTTAGGTAGACAGTGGGAGACAGACACTGAGGTATGTAAGGGAAAAGCCTCTTGATGCCTCTAGCTGACTGTCAGATGGAGCAGGGAGTGGGACAAAACTGTCCAGAGCAAGAGGAAGAACAAACAGAAGTGGAAATGTTAGTGAGCTGCAAGATGTTACTGAGATGTTAGTGAACCAGCTGCGAGGTATCTTAGTGTCTACTGCCACTGTTCTTGCCATGTTCCTATTAAAAATAAAAGTTCTTGTTATTGGTCACCAAAAACCCATTTCTCCCAACAAAACAAAATCTACATGTGAATACACTAAACTGTCTAAAATCTTGATTCAAAAACATGGCTGAAATCAAAATACTTTTGTATAAAATCTTACAACCGGGGGCCAGAATTTCAGATTACCCTGCCACCTGTCACTCTGTCATATGAGCACAAGTTTGAGTCACAGCTGCTTGAATTGCAATGCAGCGCTCTGCTAATGTCCCCGGGAAAGCAGCAGCAGATGGCCAGGTGCCTGGGCCTCTGTTGCTCATGTCAGAAGACCTGGATGGACTCTCAAGCTCCCAGGCCAGGCCACTGAGGCCATTTGAGGCATTAACCACTGAATGAAAGATTTTTCTGTCTTCCAAAAAAAAATGAACTTTTAAAAAAATCTTCTGAAATAAAATACGTATTTTCTCCACCAGAGAGTTAATATACATCCTATATTGGTGCACATCAAAGTCAACTAAGCTATAATTATAAAAAACGAACATATATAAGCAGCGATGATATGCAGAATTACAAATTGGAGTAGGGGGAAGCTTTTTAAGGAACTACAAGTTTGCACATTTGTTTTCCAATATGAATAAAGCCCAAGGATTTGAAAGCTGGAAAGCATCAGAGAGAGATACAGTCTGACATTTCAATCTCCAATTTCTAGGAGATACAGTGCAAGGTCATAGAAAATTATGTAACTGTGCAAGTGTGTAAGTGTTTAAAAGCTGTTAAGTGCTTTTAAAGTTGATCTGGACGTCCCTTCTGTAAGTTACAATTGGTATTAGATCAATGGCCTCTGGCAATGTCCTAGACATATCACAGAACACTTTCCAGTAGAAATCATCTTAGAACGCAATTTAAAATCCTGACAGTTCTCAAAACTTGGAAGTATCCCTAACTGAATATGAGTAAGTTCAATGTTTTCACAAGTTTATAGAATCATAAACAAAATATAATTGGTAAGGAAAACAGTGAGAAATTAAAAAGCGGATATGAGAAACACAAAAAGTTGAATTACAATCACACTACTCAGTAAGCTTGCTTTGTCAAATAAAGCCGCAGATGAATGTATCTTTTTCTTACTTCTTACACCTGCTTCTGATGCTATACTTCCACTTATTCAGCCAGGTATGCAAATATTTAAGCACCCCGGCCATAGAAGTATTCCAGTGATGGTCACGGAATTGTTAAAACACTATAATGTTGTTCTTCAGGGACAGCATTTCGAAAAAATATTTACCTATTTAAAAGGTAGAGTCACAAAGGGAGAAGACAGAGATTTTCTACCTATTGGCTTACTCCCCGAATACCTGCACAATCAGGTCTGGGCCAGGCTGAGGCCAGGAGTCAGTCAGGAACTTCACCCAGACCTCCTGCGCAGGTGGCAGGGACCCATGTACCTGCAGCCATGTTCCCCTGTTTTCCCAGGCATGTTAGTAGGAAGCTGGATCAGAAGCAGAGTAGACAGGATTCAACTAGCACACCTGATCTACCCTGCTGGGCATCACAAGAAGCAGCTTAAACCCCTGCACCACTCTGATGCCTTCTGTGACAGCATTTTTGGGGTCTGGATTTGAAGAAAGTTATTTTTTTCAAGCCTAATTATGGGGCTGCATGGAAAACAATTCTTCATCGTTAAGCCTTCCAAAGCACGAACTGTGAGCAAATGTCATAACTTTACATTCTACAGGAAGAATAGAATGGGGAGGGGGTGGTAATCCATGCTTACTCTTGGGACTATGAACTATGAGGCAACTACCTGTTAAGGTGGCCCTCTATTGGATTTTGCCCTTAATTATGAGGTTCATGTACCCTTAAACTTAGGTTTCCAAAACCATTAAATGGAAAACAAAAGGAGACTCATAATCAGGGTGTGTCCCGTGAGGACTATAAAAGGCGCTGATTCCCTGCAGCTCTTCACACACACCTGCTCGATTCTTCCAGTGACTCTACTGTTGGAAACCAGGTGAGTGTGGGCTTCCCGCTGCCTGCAGCGCTGTCTGCTGGCATTAATGCAGGGACTCAGATGCCTTTAGAATGGCAAGAAGTGACTGGGAGAAGAAGGGCTGGTGCTGTTTAACCAGGTCACCTGCACAGTGGAAGCTACAAGCTGTGGGCAGGTAATTTTGCAGAGTGAAGAATGTCATTTATTACTAACAAAATGCTCAGCCTGAAAGACAGAGAGTTGGAAGGTCAGACATGGAACACATGAGGATGATTAGCTTTTGAGCACACATGGTTCCCATCTGGACGCTCCTTTCTCTTTCCCTCACCTTTCCTGCTTCTCTTGCATCCTCTACAGCAAGCAAACAGCCCCCTGGCACTACAACCCTGCTGAGTACCCCCAGTACAAAACTCCACTTTGACTTGGTGGTAAGTCACTGTCCTTTGCATTTCCAGGACACCAGAATGTGTGCTAAAAAGTCTCCAGAAGAACTGAAGGCCATTTTTGAAAAATATGCAGCCAAAGAAGGGGATCCTGACCAGCTGTCCAAGGAGGAGCTGAAGCTTCTGATTCAGGCGGAGTTCCCCAAACTGCTCAAAGTAAGTGCTGGCCTGCGAGCCTGAGCGGAGGCAGGGGCAGAGTGAAAGAGCCACTCACTCTAGCACTGTAGCCAAGATACACAAAGAAATAAAGCTAGCTGGCATTCTTACAGGGTAGAACCCACCTTCCTTGGGAGGGTTTAGAAAAAGAAGTCCTGCTGGGCACCAATTCATATTTCAAAAGCATGGAAATTTTTGTTAAGTACTTAAATATGCGTTAGTGAGGCATTCCTATACCATTTCAGGAAATAATCACATTTTCATTGGCCCTAAAAAGTTTTGCACCAAAATCCTCCCTGAGAAGGCCTATGTCCTCTTTTCTTCAGTTAAAAGGGAATTTTGTCATTTGGTAAAGATGGCAGAGTAGACTTCTGGAAGGGTAGGGAGGGCACAGCTGTAGCTATAGGGATTAAGGCAATGGGTTCCTGCAGTGGAGCAGAGCAAAGGGGCTGGACTCTTAACAAATGAGAGCTGATAACCACCGAGCAGGTTTACATTGAGAGATTGCTATGGAAACAGGAAGACCTGCTGGCTAACCAGACTGGGTGGGGCTCAGACTGAAGGGAGAGGCCTGGGACTAAAATACTGAGTGTGGCCAAATGCTGAGTGAGGGGAATTAGGATTCCTCCACCCAGGGCCACAGGGAAGCCCAAGGTCAGATGAACCCAATAGAGCACTCCAGATGAGCCTATGATCTGGTCATTGTAGCAAAAACGAAGAGTCTTAGTGACATGGCAACTTAAACAGGCCTTCCACAGCTGCGCAGCTCAGACACTGGCCCCAGTCACTCTTTAGGGGCAACTTCTGAAGAAAGCTTCTGCTTCCCAGAGCCTTCTGTGACCCCGGTAGCTGCAGAAACTCGCAACTGTTTTTAATACTGGAAAGAAAAAAAGCTGGATTCAGTGACCCTATCATCTGATAGATCCTGCTTTTCTTATTGGTGCAATGTAAATTTTAAAAATAAGGGCACTAGAGGAAATGTTAATTTTTCTTGATGTATTTCATACAAAATGCATATTAAGTTTTTCTAATTTGGGAAAAGGAGGATTTTTGGTAAATTTGAAAAATCTACCTGATTCTATTGCCACAAGGATTACAAGGTTTTCTGTCTCTATCAATACCTCGCATGATTCAGAATGTAGTACCCACTTCAGGCAAGTGGTGCTAGAATCACATTAGTAACTTACAGGTGAGTTTTGGAGTTTAGCCAAACGCCAAGAGTCAGTGCAGGAATCTTAGAGGTTAAACCATAGCTTGCCAGAGAAATCTGTTGCACATTATGAGTGTGCTTAGCACTACTGAACTGTACACTTATAAATGGCTAAAACGGTCATTGTAATGCTGTGTGCTTTTACAACTGTATCTTTATATCTATATGCACGCTCATACATCTCCAGGCTAGTTTGAAAATGACATAAACTGTTACTCCAAGAGCTTTCCTGAGTACTCTGGTGCTGCACAGATTGCTGTATCAAAGTCCAAGCAGTATCGGTTTTCAGATTTGAATTTTGTAGCAGAAATAACAGGCGGCTTAAGACCCGCAGCAATACCCATAATGAAAAAGCCCAAACAGGGGCCCATGTGACCTCACAAGCCGGGACTCTTCTATAAATGGTCCCAAACCAGCTACATTGGCATCTTGGGAAGCACGGAAGATCCTCAGAACTGCTGAGGCTGGGCCAGCCACTCTAGTCAGTTAAGGTCAGCTGGCTGGAGGAGGGTGCTTCCACAAGATACAGTGTATAGCCCGTGGACTCTAAGTCATCTTGGGGAGCCCATAGGTGAACCACAGCCCGAGGTCTGGGGGAAAGAGGAGTGGTAGCTACTTATGAGGCTGGGCTCTGGCATCAGTGTTTGTAGCCCAAGCCCTCTGCTAACCAGCTGTGGGTCAGAAGCAAATTATTGGCAGGTTGGGAACCTCACCTGCCTTTCCTGTAGATTCCCCCTAAGGGGGCAGGTAGGGTAGGATGACAGAGGATGCCTCAAGACATTGGCACAGTGCTGGCTCCTGTGCTGTACCAGCCTCACAAAACCAGTTCCTAAGGAAACCTAGCAGCAGAGGTCCTCAGCTTGCTATGGGTCATCAACCCTTCAGTAATTCAAGTCAAGTCGACAGATCCCTTATCAGAAATTTTCTAACTTTGGGGTGAAAAGAAAGAAACAGAGAAGTGTTTCCATCCATGGATTCACTCTACAAATGCCCTCAGTGGCTGGGCTGGGCCAGGCTGAAGCCACCAGCCGGGAACTCAGTCTAGGTCTCCCAGGTGGAAGGACCCAACCAGGAGGCCATCACTACTGCCTCTCGAGGTCTGCACTAGCAGGAAGATGAGGCAGTTGCCAGAGCCAGTACTTGCACCTAGGCCTTTCTCTATGGAAGGCCTTCCTATATGGGCATCCCACCAGGCATTTTAATGACCAGATCAAAGGTCTACAACACTTAGAGGTAGAAAGTAAAAGATGTAAGATTACATAGGAAACCAGTTACATTATAACACATACGAGGAGAATGAGCATTTAATGTAACAGTCAAGAAATCCACCTCCCATATCAGAGTGCCTGGTTTAACCCAGCTCCCACTTCCAACTCTAGTTTCCTGCTAAGGTAGACCTTGGGAGGCAGTGCACATTGGCACTAGGACAGCAGTAAGTGTGGCATGCACGAGGTAGCCAGGTGTATGACATGGAAGAATAGCATAGCTCAAGCTTGCCCAACACCTGCATTGGTAGCGTGTGTCTGAGATCACAGGCTGCCTTCCTGGAGTGTCTCCAATGGATCAGAAAGCACAGCTATAATTGACTCACTTCTTCTCCCCTCCCCTATCCCATTTGTTTTGTCTAAACCAGGGTACGAGCAGCCTAGATGACCTCTTCAAAGAATTGGACAAGAACGGAGATGGAGAAGTTAGTTTTGAAGAATTCCAAGCATTAATAAAGAAGATATCCCAATGAAGGAGAGAGCCAAGCAGCATCCTGAGCCCCCAGGGAAGGGTGCCTGGGACTGGGCCCTGCATGGTGCAGTCCCCAAGGGGCCTGGAGAATTCTTGACAATGAAAATTATCTGACAATGAAAATTATCTCACTTAATAAAGGAAATCATAACGTGTCTCCACTTGTACAGTACTGATCCTCTTAGTAGATTTGAATGTGACCTTAGTCTGAATTATCTAATTATATAAATTACCAAAAAAAAAGGCCCAGATAGGTTTAAGAGACACTTGGGATGCCAAAGGAACATCCCCTTTCCACCCTGTGTCTTGCTCTCCCTCCCCAGCTACTCAGTGCTCACAACAGGGTTGATTTCAAATTTGCCCACATTAATTGGCAACTCATGCCAAACGCATTTCCTGAGTGGGAATCATGGTGTAAGGCACCTGACAGTACCTACTGTACTTTCGCACAAATGGCCGCAGAGACAGCTGCGGGGGGCGTCAGGGCAAGGGGCACGGCCCAGTCAAGTGTGCTCAGCACTGAGGGAGTGCCCATGGCTCTGTGGGCTAACACCACAGTTCCTCCTGGGAAAAACACAACAAAGGGTGACAGGAAGTCATGGGGCTCCCTCCATCCCAACCGGTGCTGCTGCCCTGGGCTGTGGCTCTTGGGATCTCAGAAAGCAGGCAACCCCCCTTGGCCGCCTGGAGCCCAGCTGGAAGCTGGGAGGGCTGGGATTTTCCTCCACCCATGATGACACAGAGGTAAACAACAAGGTTCGAGTTCACCCAAGCTACCAGTGGCTCAAGTGCTACAGCCAACCTGTGACAGAAGGGCCTGGGAGGCTCAGTTCCCCCTGGATCCCCAACCCCTCTCAACCTAGGCTGTTCCTTATCCATCTCCTTATGAACCTTGTTTTACACACTTTGCTCTCTTACTTGCCCCAGGGAAGACTTAGGGCCGCAGACACAGTGTTCATGTCTGGTAATGCATTGCATGCACATCTGGAATTCACATATGAATAACATGTTTTTGTCCCACCACTGTCCCCACCACCAAAAAGCCAACTGTGGCCCTGGGCAAATGCTGCCACATGGCTTTGGGCAATGCTCTTCATGCTTAATTTCTAATTCATACCCCCCAGATCAAAATGGACACTCATCCTTCTGTAGCTGACCTCACAAAACGGTAGGACCATGTCTGCCTTCTAAATGCAGGAGACAATAATACTAAATGTTTTTCCAACTATGCAAGCCCCCCAAAGGTCCTGTTATATGTCACTCCCCTCCTCCCCCTGCCACACATGCAACACACTGTCTTTGACTCCATTTGTTTTAACCAAGTGCTCTTAAAAGAGTATATAGGATGAGGCCCAATTCAGTGGCATAGTAAGCCAATCCTCTGCCTGCAGTGTCAGCAGCCCATATTGGCAAAAGTTCTAGTCTCAGCATCCACTTCCCATCCAGCTCCATGCATAAGGCCTGGGAAAGCAGCAGAGAATGGTCCAAGCCCTTGGCACCGTGCGTCCATATGTGAGAACCAGAAGTTCCTGGCTCCTGCTTCAGATCAGCTCAGCTCTGGCCATTGTGGCCATTTAGGGAGTGAACCAGCTGATGGAAGATTCTTGTCTCTGACTCTCCTTCTCTCTCTGTAAAAATCTGCCTTTCAAATAAAAATAAATAAATCCAGCATGCCAGAGCCGGGCCTGGGGACCAAGTCAGTAGCAGTTCTTAGGAGTTGCCCCATTGGGGTCTACTCCCAATCCCAAACCTTAGGGAACACCACATATCCATCAGATCTGGCCTTGGAGCCACCCCCACTGCTGACTCTGTGTAAGGAAGGACAACATACTGGATGCATACGAAAGACAGCACAGTGGGCTTCTTTGTTTCTATGGATTCTGCCTCACAAATAAATTGTTTTTTAATCTTAAAAAAAAAGAAAGAATGGGCCCGGCGCGGTGGCGCAAGTGGTTAAAGGTCCTCGCCTTGTACACCCGGGATCCCATATGGGCACCGGTTCTAATCCCGGCAGCCCCGCTTCCCATCCAGCTCCCTGCCTGTGGCCTGGGAAAGCAGTCGAGGACGGCCCAAAGCTTTGGGACCCTGCACCCGCGTGGGAGACCCGGAAGAGGCTCCTGGCTTCGGATCGGCATAGTATCGGCCCATTTCGCTCACTTGGGGAGTGAATCATCGGACGGAAGATCTTCCTCTCTGTCTCTCCTCTCTGTATATCTGCCTTTCCAATGAAAAAATAATAAAAATAAATCTTAAAAAAAAAAGAAAAAAAAAAGAAAGAAAAATTTCTAAAGTACCATTCTCAGCCCCAGTGCAGTAGCCTAGCAGCTAAAGTCCTCACCTTGCACGCACCAGGATCCCATATGAGCACTTGTTCTAATCCTGGTGGCCTCAGTTTCCATCCAGCTCCCTGCCTGTGGCCTAGGAAAGCAGTGGAGGATGGCCCAAAGCCTTGGGACCCTGCACCCATGTGGGAGACAAGGGAAGAGGCTCCTGGATCCTGGCTTCAGATCAGTTCACCACTGCGGCCACTTAGGGAGTAAACCAACAGACATAATCTTCATCTCTGTCTCTCCTCTCTGTATATCTGACTTTCTAATAAAAATAAATAAATCTTTAAAAAGTACCATTTCTCTTGGCATTTCTAGGAAATTTACTGAGGCAGGGAAATAGCAGTGATGGGCAGAAGGCAAACGGGCTGCAAAGCATCGAAGCCCATTAGCACCTTGCTAGAATCTGCCAAAGATCAGAAAGGGAGCAGGAAGGCATAGGGGTTTCATGGTGGTTAAATGTGCAATAAGAAGATGAAGCAGGCACCAAGAATCAGGTGAAAGCAAGAGAGGCAGGCAAAGCAGTTATACAAGAAACGGAAAGGATGGGGCCAGCACTGTGGCATTGCAAGCCAAGCTGCCACCTACAACGCTGAGAGCCCATGTGAGCACCTGCTTGTGTCCCAGTTGCTCCATGTCCTGCTAGTCACCCAGAAAAAGCAGCAACAGATGACTCGAGTGTTTGGGCCCTTGTCACCCATGTGGAAAGCCCAATGAACCCCCTGGCTTCTGGCTTCAGCCTGGCCCAACCCTGGCTATTATTAGTAGAGTGAACCAGTACATCTCTTCCTGTTTCTCTCTAACTCAAATAAATAAATATTCTAAGAAAAGAAGAAAAAAGAGACATGAAGGAGACACCTTGCTGGAATGGTTGAGTCACTGATGTGAACAAAATTACCCTTGGGCCTCCAGAAGGGTAAAGAGACATGGAGTGTGAGTGTGTGTGTGTGTGTACCCGCTCTCAACACTGATTTGACTTCCAAGATCCAACAAGACTCTGATCGTCACTCAACTCTCAGCTTCTGCAAAATTGGAGTGTTTGACTTGTTCCTTCCATCACGCAGACCCAGGTCAAGGATATTCAACCCCACGCTCTGCCCACAGCCTTGTTCCGCTTCCTATCCCTGAAGCTCCCACGTCTGCTGGATGTTCCCAAAGCACCCATTCCAACGCTGGGCCTTTGGGAATGAGTACAATATTGATACTGCATGCTAAGGTTCACTCATACTGCCTCCAGGGCTAGTTCTGTCACTGGTATCCACGGCCTTCTGCACAGCTTTCCCTGCTCCCTTATTCTCCTCTAAGCCCTACAATAGAGCTTACAACCAAGCTTGGACATTTTTATCTAGCATAAACCTTCCATCCTTGTCACGAGGTCCCTGAGCCTTTGCCAATCTCCCTTTCTTATTTTTACCCACAGTATTCCCCCAGGACTCGGAATTTTTAAGCATCTTAGGTCTACCTGCATTATCCAATACTGTAATCCACAGACACATGAGACAGTTGACATTTCATTTAAAATTAAGAAAAATTTACATTCAGCCCCTTGGTCGCACTAGCTACATTCTAAGTGCTCCACAGCACTCTGGGGCTCGTGGCTCCAATACTGAATGGTGTAGATACAGAACATTTCATGCCGGCACAAATGTCTGGCTGACAACACTGGTAGCACTTGATGAGGGCGTACTCACACACTGCCCATCTGCTTGGTTATTTGTTTCACTGATCTATGTCTTAAATTCCCAACTAAACTGCAACTTAGGCTTGTGGTGGCAACTTCATTATAATCCTCCGTATTTAGGACTACACTGAAGTGGACAGGGTCCGAATGCAGGACCTCTTTTCATTTTAATAATTTCATTCCACCAACATTCAATTATTTCTACTGCCAAAAAAAAAAAATCTCTCAAGCAGTCGAAACACCTGTTGTTAAGACCTTCCCATTGATCTCAAGATACAAAAGCTTGAAGTATTCTTCTAGTCACGCGTTTTTGTATGACATTAGGGACCACTCTGTGATTCATGAATGGAAGCTCTCTCCAAGCTCTTTCCAACATGCGCACTCAGTGAGTTAAACTGCCCATTGGGACACACATCCTGTAACACAGTGCCTGCTTCACGTCCCAGCTATTCCACCTCAGATATAGATTCTGGCTAAAAGTGTACCCTAGGAGGCAGATGATGGCTCAATTACTGGGGTCCCTGCCACCCACATGATAGACGCAGATGGAAGTCCAGGCTCCTGGTTTCAGCCTGGCCTAGTCCTACCTGTTGTGGGCATTTAAGGAATGACTGAGCACAAAGGAGATCTCTCTGTGTTCCCCCTCACACCACAGACTCTCTTTCCTTGTTACTGTCTTGCGAGAAAGCACTAAAAAAAAAGTAGACTTGGCTACAGCAGAAGGGCATGAGAAAAAGATGCACTAGCTGTTAAGCAGTGGTCATTGTACCTGGGAGAAGCTTATCCAGCTTTATGATTTCATAATTCACAAATAAAAATCATATTCAAGGTATACAGGGTAATGTCTTGACATATTGAGAAATCACCACAACCAGGTTGATATATTCATCATCTAACATAAGTTTTTCTTTTTACATGTATAGGATACATCAAAAAGCTCACAGAAAGTGGAATTTAAAGATATGTTTATGGGGTCTGGCACTGTGGCATTGTAGGCTAAATCTGAACCTGCAGTGCCAGAATCCCATATGGGTGCTGGTTCAGGTCCCAGCTGTTCTACTTCCCATCTAACTCTCTGCTTGTGGCCTGGGAAAGCAGTGGATGGCTCAGGGCCTTTGGGTCACTGTGCCCATGTGGGAAACCAGGAGGAGCCTCTGGGTTCCTGGCTTTGGATCAGTCCAACTCTGGTTTTTGTGGCCATTTGGGGAATGAACCAGTGAATGGAAGATTCTCTGTCTCTCTCTCTTGATTCTAGCTTTCAAATTAAAAAAATATATAAATATTTAAAGATCAGTTCATTTTTGCATCAAAAAATTTTAAAACCACACATACAAGGCATCCTCAAAATGTTTCTGAGGAGCTGGCACATTAGCCCAAATGGCTAATTGTCTACCTCCAAGCATCGGCATCCCATACAGGTGCTGGTTCTAATCCCGGCTGCTCCACTTCCCATCCAGCTCCCTGCTTGTGGCCTGGGAAAGCAGTCAAGGATGGCCCAAAGCCTTGGGACCCTGCACCAGTGCAGGAGACATACCAACATGCCTGTGAAGATCACACCAGGCCACTAGCAGAAATGGTCATTTCACCCCTATAACAGCTTAATTCATGATGACTACTTTTACCAGGGAAAAGTTGCTAGTTCTGCACTAACCTCCAAATGACTTGTGTATGTTCAATCACTGGGAAATACTATTGCATCGAGCTGAAGGCAATCCAATCCTCAAGTGCTCCCTAAAAAGTAACTCTAAGTGGGCTCTCTATTTCTTATCCAACAATCTGTAGGAAGTTGTTGAAAAATAATAGAGGCAAATACTTCAAACAGGGCTTTAACTAAAAAACAGCAAAATCTAATGCATGCATTAGGCTTAATGTTTAACACAAATTACCTTCACCTAAAGTCACTTTTAACAATAAATGACTATTACACAAATTACTGTCAGACATAAAATTAATTTTAACTTTGAAAATATCTGGATCAAAAGGTATAAATGAAGTCACACCTATGATAAATAACTAAAATTAAAATAATGTCAAATATGGTGATTGCAAATATCCATTTGAATCTTGTTAAAATGCTTCAAAGTTCTCACTTTCTCTTAGCAGAACCACCAACCAAGCAGGAACGTGCACTGATGTGCTTCGAAGGTGGAACACGGACTCTGTTTCCAATTTCTTTTTAAAGTTGCCTTTTACAAGAATATAAAAGAAAGGCATGACATTAAGCAACCCCCTGGCTATAGATAAGTCTGAGACTGTTATTCCTGTGTATATATTCCACATAGAAAGTCCATGAAAATGTGAGCTTTAGTCCAGAGGAACCAGCGTGATGGGACTCCGAACTCAAATTCAAGGACATCTGCAGCTGCCACATGATTGATATATGGGCCCCCAAGCCTTTTATTACAGTTTGCAGATCAAGCAAAGACATAACACAATAAAAGAAACTCTATTCACTGCCTTCCAAGTACCCTGAACCTCAGAAAGCATCTGCCATAGTCCTTAGGTAAAACACAATTTCTCTTGTGACATGCATAGGAGACAGCTCCTGTTAGAACTCTTCCAGCTACTAGCATCTCTGCGGACTTCATGAGCAAGCAGAACACTACCCAAGGAGGGCCAGGACGGCCCTCAAAGCAGCCTTGAGCAGCAAGTATGCCCTGACAGCAGGTTCCTGGCTTCCAAGCTGGCCACTTTGTAACTAGAAGGGTCACAGTGACCAGAACCCACTAAGTAAACATGACTTGCTCAAGTGAAGTGGCTCCCTAGGCTCTGTGCTGTTTGCTGCCAAATGACACCTTCACTTCCACCTTTTCCTTTACTAAGGCTCCTCACCATCAGCACAAATGCTGGCTCTTACAGATATTTTTCTCTGACAAACTGATTGCAGGCCGTAAAGATGTTCAATAGCAATTAGGTTTTATGGTTCTCATCTCACTTATGTGTGTAAAAGCCATCAAAATGTAAAATGCACACATCCTCTGGCTTAGCATTTCCCCTTTCAGAAATTTATCCTTCAGATGTGTTTAAGAGTGGGTACAAGGATATATGTATGTGATACTAATTGGCAGCATGATTTACAGGAGCAAACTAATGGGTACAACCTAAACACAAGGGCAGCTAAACAAATAATGAGGCATCCAAGCAGCAGACAGCAGGGCAAGGGTGTGAGAGATCCCTGTGTACAATGTGGAGGGCTCAGCACAAAAAAACAAAGTGGGAGCAGTGTTTCAAGCAGGCTGGCACATGTATTTTACATCCATACATGGGTGTGCATAGGCAGCAAGAGCACACACACAGTACTTTGGGAAGGGAGCTGAGGTGAAGGAGAGGGGCACGTGACAGGTAGTCACATAGCTTTCTGTAGCATGTAACTTCTCTAGCCTGTGTATAAGGTGTTTTTAAATGTATGCACACACACAGAGTAAATAGTCATCAGAAGCAGGTGCTGCTCTGCAGTGGGTTTCACTGCACATGGGCAATCAGAGCACTGGATCAAGTCCTGGCTAGTCTGCTTCTGATCGGGCTTCCTGCTAATCTATCTGGAAAGGTAGAGGAACATGGCCCAAGTGTTCGAACCCCTGTCACCACATGGGAGACCTAGATGCAGCTGCTGACCCCTGGCCTCAGCCTGGCCCCGGCTGGGCGGTCATTTGGGAAATGAACCAACAGATGGAAGACATCTCTGTCTCTCTCTGCCTCTCTCTTTCTACCTTTCAAGTAGGTGAGAATTATAAAGCAAATATTTAAAAAGTCATGCAAGAATTTGTCAACACTATCTAACAGTGGCACCTACTGGTAAAGTCACATCTCATCCCAAATTATATTGTTAAAAAGAAAAGCCACATTTTCCTAATACAACCATTTCAGTTATTAGTCAAGAAATATGTTTATATTAAAATCCTGTAAGAAACTCTTCACTGGCACCAGGCCATCTGAACATGACTTCCAAGTACCACCTGGCTGGGGAGTTAGAGTTCATTATAGTTTGAATTGCAGGCTATAAAAAGGAGTGAAGGATTTTTCTAGATCCTTCCTCGGAGTGATCTCCAGCATTTGGTGCTACATGGAAAAACAATACCGGAGAAAATGTACAAAGTATGCTGCCAAGAATCCAAGGAGCGGTGCTACAATAGACAAACAGGCTGCTCACATTTGAAAAGTGAAAAGAGGGGACTAGACTAGCATGATAGCGCAGTGGACTAAGATGCCACTTGTGATGTCAAAAGTCCATACAAGAGTGCTAATTAGGCTCCTGGCACCTCTACTTCTAATCCAGCTTCCTGCAAATGGCCTTGGAAGGCAACAGAGGACGGCTGAAGTGCTTGAGCCTCTGCTAATGCCCACAGGAAGAGGCAGCAGCAAGAACTCAAGCACTTGGACCTCCGCCACCCACGTAAGCAGCCTGGCTGGAGTTGTGAGCGTCTGGCTTGGCCTACCCTAGCTCTGGCTTTTATGGGGATTCAGGAAGTGATCCAGCAAATGGAAGCACTTGGACTCTTTTTCTCTCTTTGCCATCCAAATAAAAGTAACTTCTAACTGAAAATACAAATCAAGAAGAGAAAAAAACAATTCACGGCTGTCATAAGGGAGAAGAGGGAATGGGCGAGAGGGAGGATAGAAACCACGTTTCTCTGACTCAGTGGTTCTCAATAGGGACATGTTGTAATAGCTGGAAAGCAGGACAGTAGGGATGTAGCAGGCAGTGAAAGAATAGAAGGCAAGAAAAGCTTTGCAGGAAGAATAGAAAGCTATTGGGTTTTACTTCATTAAATTACTTCTTTTTTAAGATGCTGGGGAGGGGTGGGCAGGGATTGTACGAGGGCAGCATCTCAGGTATGGGGATTCTCGGGCACCACCCGTGTATCCAAGTCGGAAACACCAAGCATGGCAGCCATGGACCTGCCCCCGAAGGAATCAGCAGAGCAGCAGGTGCCAGCACAACGACCCCTGAGGCCCAGCCAAGAATCCTGGATGAAACACTCGGCAGGCAAGGAGCTGTGACAAGATGAGCATCAGCAGCAAAATAGTTGTCATTTCTGTTTCAGAAAGATCGATGGCCACCACTGTGGAAAACACAGACTGGGACCACGTCTAGAGACAGGGCAGCTGGTTCATTTATATGAGCTGTTATAAATTGTTGTCACAGCCAATTTAATGTTTTCCTAAACATTAAGCTTGAAAACCCCCACAAAAAGAAATCAGCCCAGGACTGTGCTTGGCTCCAAGGCGCAGCTGGCAAGGTAGACCACTGAGAGCCGAGCAGCATACAAAAATAAGAACCGTAAATCCACACACAGTGCAGAACGCTTTGATGATGTAAAGGAAAGAAATAATAGGGGCCACCGTTTGAATTCAGTGAGTTAAGCTGCCACCTCAACAGCAATATCCCAAAAGAGTGCTGCTTTGAGAACCATTTGCTCCATTTCCAATCCAGCTCCATGCTAATAAAAGCAGCAGATGCAGGCCCAAGTGCTCAGACCCCTCCACCCACATGGAAAATCCCGGTGAAGCTTGTGGTTCCCGGCTTCAGCCTGGCCCAGCTGAGACACTGTGGCCACTTGGGGACTGAAGCAGCAAGTACAAGACTGGTATCTATATCTCTCCTCTGGAACTCTGACTTCCAAATAAGCTAATACACCGTGAAAAAACAGCTTCTTATGAGTTTATGCAAGAATCAAAGAAAAGGCCAAAGACTGGGCCCAGGAAGATACACAAACCACTTACCAAAGGCACGGAGGCATTTGGCTCAAATTCAGTGGAATCAGCATCTGAAGATTAAGACAAGAGTTAGCAGCTCACCAATATTGTGGAAAAACAACTTAAGTATAATTTTTGTCCTTAACACATGGGTATTAGCAAACCTCACCCTTACCTTTCAAGTTGAGGCAGTTTCTTGCAAACTCAATCACTGCTAGTTGCATCCCAAGGCAAATTCCTAGTTTCAAAAGCACATAAACAAAGCCAATGAGCGCATTCTGTGGCTATTCCCATTTCTGTCCATTTGTTTGTTGTCTGTCTCCTCCACCCACAACACACATCTCAGAGAGCGACGCTTGGCCTAGGCTGTCCTCCTGGCCCTGAAACGCTTCCTGGCAGGGGGCAGGGAGGGTGGCTGGACTGCTGAGCAGCGCCTGAATTCTGGAGCTGAGAAGGAACATGCAAGCAGAAAAGAGAAGGGGTAAGAGTCCTACAGACATCTGCCACTGTCCAGGTCTGACCTCAAACCGAGGAATGTGTGGGGGCTGCAGGGCCATCCCAGAGCCCCCTCTCTCTCCCAGGAGCTTCCCTCCAACCTAACAGGGTCTGTGCCTGGGCTGGGATCCTGCAGTGCCCCTACAGCTGCCCGTGGCCTCAGGGCAGTCTCTAGTGGGCCAGGGTGCTAGCATCTAAGAGGCACCCTGCTGCTGATGTGCAGAATAGCCCCCAGACATCATTGCAGGAAAAAGCCAGGGAAGCTGGAACATCTACCATGGCTTGAGTTTGGGCCACAGCAATAACAGAGTACAAAATATAACTGAAGGAGCCAGTACCATGGCACCAAGGGTCAAACTGCCATTTGTGATGCCGGCATCCCGCCTGAGTGTCAGCTCAGGGGTCCAGGCTCCGATTGTAACCAAGCTGTCTGTTACCGCACCTGGGAAATCAGTAGAAAATTGTCCAAATGCTTGGGCTGCTGGACCCCAATATGAACCAGATGAAGTTCCTGCCTCTTGGCTTCAGCCTGGCCCATCCCCAGCCATTGCAGCCACTTGAGGTGCAAACCAGAGGATGAAAGATCTTCCCCCATCCTTGGTCTCCTGTGTGTGTGTGTGTAGGAGTGTATGTGAGGGGGGTGAGAGAGAGAGAGAGAGAGAGAGAGAGAGAGACTATCTATCAAATAAACAAATTCTTAATGAAGACACAGTGGGAAAGCTAAAGACTTGAAGCTATCTTATACAATGAAAACTCTATCAAGTTCAGATAGACACAATGCTTATCTACCATACTTCAAAAGAAAACAGTAGCCCAGATGACCTCAGACCCAGAAAAGCAAACAATGTACCAGGGTGATTACTCTCGGCTTTGGGGCATGGCTCCCCAAAGGACAGAGTCTAGGAGGTCAATCGAGGAGCAGGCAATGGGGAAACAAAGCTACCGCCAATGAAAGGCAGCAAAGCTCATGCACTGGGTTCACCAAGGCAGCAGCTTGTCCAGGGCACAGTGCAGAGCTCAGCCTCTGCACGTGGAGCCTCCTTCGGAAGCGTCTCAGGTCCCATTCCAGCTGCATTCACTGCTCCACGTGCCCTGCTGAGAACCTGGAGGTGAGCATTCATGAGCCCGGGCTCCACCAACTTTTCTGGGAGCTGTCCCCATGGCCTTGGATGCTCTTTCTGTGCTGTCTTTCCTAATATCAACTGGAAGTTTCAACTGAAACACTCCTTTTCTGATCAGAAAGCCTACTGTGGCATTCTGTTGGAATGGTTCTCTGCTTCAGGTGGAAAGGAATTGGAGCAGGCTAGGATCAGGTGCAGGGAGAGCCATCTCTCAGCCTCTTGCTACCCAGAACTTGCCAGAATAGTGACAAGCACTCCTAAAAGGACACATTTTTCTGTAAAAGGTCATACACTAAGCTTTGCACACCAGAAGGTCTCCTCTGTTACACTACAGGAGCAGTCTGACAATATGAGGGTACTTCTGAAAGTTCATGGAAAATAAAATTGAAAGATAAGTTCATCTTGGTGCAAAAAAAGAAAAAAGAAAAGAAATTCATGCCATCTTTACATGATATGCATTTTCCATAAGCTTTTTGAAGAACTTGCATAAACAAACTGATTTGTCTATGTTCTAATAAAACTTAATCTATAAAAGCAGGATATGAGCCATATTTGACCTGTAGGATATAGTTTGCTGATACCTGCAACAGACTATTTGGTGCTTGAACATTCAAACCTAAGCTTACCATCTCATAATAATAAACAGTTATGAAATTTTATTCCCTATAGGTAGGCTCTAGAAACATCAAGAAACATGCAGCTTACCCAGAAAAGGAATCTTCTTTGCTCTTGCCAAAGAAATGGCCTGGAGTTTTCCCAATGTTCCTCTGGTTCCAAAGCCTCCAGGCACGAGAATACCACTGAAATCAACACAAGATGAAGGCAGGTTTGACCATTCACTATTTTCATCTTTAAAATTTATGTTTGTAGTCATCCACAGTTACAGAATCCCAATCCAAGGCATGCAGTCTCCTTTGGGGAACAACTACACAGCTTCATTTCCTGGAATTTCCTTTTGGAAATTCTTCCAGTGCTATGAAAGAGTCATGACAAATTCTCACAACTGACCTTGAGATCTATTTTCTCTGGCAGTTGAGCATCGCAACTGGGAAACTCAATTCAGTTAGGAAAACCATCGAGAGAAGAATCTGAGTAAGAATATAGGCTAAGGCTCCTTCCAAAGCACTGCTAAAAAAATGTTAAGATCTCTTATTTAATAAGAAAGTCTGAAAATAGCCAAAGCAGTCTCAGCTTTCAATTGCTAACTAAGTGCAAGGCTGGAGACCCTTTAGAGGCCTTGTAGGCAGACAGGCAGACATTCTCAGTTGTAAAATAGAGGGACTAATGATGTGGCATAGCCAGTCAAGCTGCCACCTGCAGCACCAGTATCCCATTTAGGCATTGGCTCATGTCCCAGCTACTCCATCTCCCATCCAGTTCCCTGCCTGTGGCCTGGGAAAGCAGTGGAGGATGGCCCAAAGCCTTGGGACCCTGTACCCATGTGGGAGACCCAGAAGACACGCCTGGCTCCTGGCTTCAGCCTGGCCTAGCCCCAGCCATTACAGTCATATGGCCAGTAAACAAACCGAAGATTTTCTTTCTCTTCCCTTTCCTTGCTTCCTTCCTTCCTTCCTTTTTCTTCCTTCCTTCCTTTTTCTTCCTTCCTTCCTTCCTTCCTTCCTTCGTTTTTCTTTCTTTCTTGCTCTCTCTCTCTCTACCTTTTTAATGAATAAATAAATCTTTCCCTTTTTTAACAACAATATTTCCAAAAAAGAGAGAGCAAACTATAAGAGTTCAACAGAAAAACCAGCAGGGCCATACTGCCCTCATAATACAATGCTGCCCCCAAGAGTTCTGTCAATTCCTTTAAAAATGAAACCTACAGACAAACCATGTGCAAAAGAAAATATAATCCAGAGAGGCAGGTTTCATCCTTGTACTTTCACTTTGTATGGGCAATAGTTGCCTCTGCATCTCTTCCTGAAATCCGCAAACATCCTTATCCCCTCACCCAATCATAATGATTTCCACTGCATCTACCACCAGTGGCACCACACACATTTCACAGCAATGCATGAGCCTGTGGCTCAACACCCTGCAAATCCTGAAGTCTTCCACACTACCTTTCAAGATGCACAACAATCATCAATTGCTCCAAATGGGAATAATTATGGAAAAAGTAGCCTGGCTTTGTCCAAAATGGTGTAGACTGTCCGTAGTACTCACTCAGCTTTGCACAGCTTCTTCCAAGCTTCATGGAACTTCACTGGGTCCTCGGCTTTGGTGATCTGCTCCAGATCGAGGGAGTCTATGTACTGAGAAAAGCATCCGACACATTAAAGTGGCATTTATGAAAAACACACACTAGAAAGTGGTAGTGCCATCTAACACTGTGACATGAACATTCAAACATCATGCAAAGCCTAGAGTGGAAAGTGATATTAGAAAATACTCCTATTGAATTTTTAACCAAGCTAACTGGGCCCGGTGCAGTGGCCTAGCAGCTAAAGTAATTGCATTGAAAGCGCCAGGATCCCATATGGGCACGGTTCTAATGCCGGCAGCTCCACTTCTCATCCAGCTCCCTGCTTGTGACCTGGGAAAGCAGTCGAGGACGGCCCAAAGCTTTGGGATCCTGCACCCGTGTGGGAGACCTGGAGGAAGTTCCTGGTTCCTGGCTTTGGATCGGCACAGCTCCGGCAGTTGTGCTCACTTGGGGAGTGAATCATTGGACGGAAGATCTTCCTCTCTGTCTCTCCTCCTCTCTATATATCTGACTTTGTAATAAAAATAAAAATAAATCTTTAAAAAAATTTAAAAAAGAAAAATGCAATCCCTTTCTTGTGGGTCTGATAATCTTTCAGGAAGATTATGAAAAAGACCAACATACACAGGTAATAGTGTGCTCATAGCTCTGATGGGCAAAGAAAAGGGTGGCATGGGAGCAGCTTAGGGGTCTCATTCGCAGTCCCAGACTGCAAGGAAGGGAAGGGGGCAGCACAGAGCAAGCTCTCTCCAGGGAGATGACATGTGAGAAGCTAAGCTGCGGGGCAAGCCGAGACACAGTATGAGACATGCGCACAACCAGTGCCTGCACTCAGCTCTGCGCCCTACTGCAGCTTCCTGCCAATGCACACCTGGGGTGACAGCAGCAGTTGGAGGCGCAAGAGGCAGCGTTTCTGCTGCCTACACGGAGATCACACCGCACATCTTCCTGTGCTTTTCACTGGTTTTGCAAGACACAGTTTCTATCCACTGCTTCACATCCCAAATGTCCACAACAGCTGGAGCTGGGCTCAGACTGAAGCTGAGAGCTACAAACTCAATCCAGTTTTCCCACATGGGCAGCAGAAACCCAACCACTTGAGTCACCAGCTTCTGCACATACAAGCAGTTGGAGCCAGGAGATGGAATTGTGAGCATCTTAACTGGCAGTGAACCACACAGACAAATGCCTGCCCCCTTCTATGTACTTGTTATTTCTAAAAATACTTACAGCATGCAACACAATGAAGGTGCCATGTAAATAGCTGCTCCATTGTATTGGTGATGATACAAAGACAAGGCAAAGTCTGCACATGCTCTGTACAGACACATTTCTTCCAGGACATTTTCAGCTACAGCTGAGGTTGAAATCACACATGTGGAGCCCATGAATACAAAAGGTCTCCTGTTCAATTTTTTTTCACTTTTTTAAAAAAAGATTGTTTTTTTTTACTTGAAAGTCAGAATTAGAGAGAGAGAGGGAAAGAGAGAGAAAGGTCTTACATCCAATTGTTTACTTCCCAAACGGACACAACAACCAGAGCTGGGCCAGTCCAAAGCCAGGAGCCAGGAACCTCTTCTCGGTTTCCCATGCGGGTGCACTGCTGCCTTCCCAGGCCAACAGCAGAGAGCTGGATCAGAAATGGAGCCACTGGGACTCAAACAAGTGCCCATATGGGATGCTGGCACCACAGGCAAAGGTTTAACCTACTACATCACAGCACCAGCCCCTTGTTAATTTTAAAAACATGGTTTGCAGGACCAGCGTTTGGCACATTAGTTATGCTATTACCTGGGCCTCCTGCATCCCATATGAGAGTGTTGGGTTTGTGGTTCTGTTCTGGGTTTCTGCTAATGTGCACCCTGAGAGACAACAGCCAATGGCCCAAGCACTTGAGCCCTGCATGGGAGAGCTGCATTGGGTTCTTGGCTCCTGCCTCAGCCTGACCCAGTCTCAGCCACTGCAGCCATCTGAGGAACAGCAGACACGAAAGATCTTGATTTCTCTCTCAAAATGAAGAAATGAAAGTTATTTCCAAAAATGAAAAAAACAAGTTTTTTAAAAATCTTGGATTCTATTTCAATGCCAAAGGGAAAAACTGTCCCATTATTTTCTTGCTAGGCAAATACTATATACATAAAAGAGCACAAAGTACAATATATATTACCTGATACACAAAGCCTAAATTGAGAAATACACCTTAAACCTGAACAGCGCAAAGGCTAATACAGCAGGCCTGGCTGATCTCCTTGGCGAGGCTGGCTTACAAGACCAGCCCTTGGCCCACATCGGGAAACTTAACCTTCAGGAAATTTCCTACCACTGCAGGAATGGATAGGAGTGGCTCAGTCAGTGTGTCTGACATGTTCGTGCAAACCAACATGACTTGTGCTTGAATACTGGCCTTTCTTCTGGAAGCCTGGAATTTGGGGGCATGGTACGGAGCAGATATCTTCATGAGCAGCCCAGGTCTGAACCCTGGGTGTTGAGTCTGCAGAGGGCACCCGTGGCAGGCAGCCCTGAGCCGTGCTTTCACTACTCCCCACTGAGGGAGACGACCAGGGCACTGCTCTGGGAACTGCGCAGCTGGACTCCCAGCCTTCCCCTGCGGTGGCTTTCCCCGTCACTGCATTTGCTTTGCAGCCGTTGGCTGGAATAAATCTTAGCCATAAGTGTGAGTATCTGCTGTGCCCTGTGAGCCTCCTGCACAAGCAACAGTCCTGGGGGAGGCGCTCATCAACACCGCCAGCACACCCTGCCTCAGTGGCACACGCCTTTACCCAGCAAGGTGCCCAAGACTCACCATCAGATTCAGCTTGTGGTTGATGGCCAAGGCCGAGTGCTCCAGGGCTTTGAACACGGAGGAGTAGCAGTCCCTGAGCTTGGTGTATTTGCCAACCAGGGCTATGGTGCATGCCTTCTGCAACTTGTCATATCTGTGGGGCAAGACAAGCCCAAAGGTTAACCTCTGGTGCCGGGGTAGGCCATGACAAAGAGTATACTGCAGCCACCTACAACTCGTAGGTGCTTACGCTTCAGGAACACACAACCCTCCCCTTGCTGAACCGGAAGCAAATCCCCCCATCCCACCACAAAGAACCAGAATCTGCCCACCAAACAGATTTCGGAAATCCTACGAAATCCCAACATCGGCTTGCATAAACAAGCAGCTACAAATCTGAGAGAGGAACGAGAGAAAAAGTTGAAAGCATTGAAAACTAAGAAACTTGAAACTGCTCCCACCATCTCATAAAAATGAGCTGTTTATAAATTAGATTGTAAGGTGACATTGTACAAGGAAATGCATTCTGCTTGTCGACAGGAAGCACTCCCATATTAACTTTGTAAGGTGACACTGTATTAAAAAAACCGCATTCCAAATGTCTGCATTTAGAATTGTACCATTCCCAGCTGGCTCACAAAAGTCTGGTTATTCACAGTATGCCTGAAGAATGGTATGAAGAAAACTGTTTAAAATATTACAAGCCATTTAGATCATTTTTATGAGAAAATTCCATTCTGCGGCAGACACTCGATTACATCTCATCATCATAGACGCAGTGCTGCTTTGGTCAGGAAATCTGTGCAGGAAACATGACAAATATCTGGTCTGATATTAAGCATACAGAAATGTCACCTTGCACTGAAGATATTTCAGGGACTGAAGCTCTTTCCCGAATACCTAGGAAAGATGCTGCTGTGATAAGGCTCACCCCTCTTTCATCTCCACATCTTCAAAGGTGCAACAGGAGACAAAGCCAGAAGAAGCTAAGTCAGAAGCGGCAAGACAGGGATGACAGCACCTAGACAGCTGCCGGCGCCTCGCCTCCCTACCTAGGGCTGGAAGCTCCAAAGCCACCCACACCTCCTGCCACCTGTCCATGAGGGTCACAGGGGATGGACAGCAAGCTGCAGTGAGCTGAAAAGTGGCGACAATAAGAATGTGCAGGTGCGGCCCGGCCTGAGCTGAGGCCCATAGCTCCTGGCAACATGAGGCTCCTCCAAGCGCAGCAGGTCTGCCCTATGGCCTCAGGACATTCTCTGTGCTCTGCAGAGAGGACCGCGGAAGGAGGCAGTGCTCCTGTCCACAGGGACCCTCCTTCGGCTGGCTCCCTCACACCTCAGGCAGCAGAGGGTGGCACAGGTGAGTCTCTGGGTCACACCTGGGGCGGGATGCTGTGCAAGAAGGATCCCTGGGCTTGCCCACTTGACCTGCTCTTCCCCGAGGAGCCAAGCAGCACCTTGATGCCCTCCCCTTCCTCATTGGCCATCCCAGTGTATGCGATTCAGGACTCCCCCACTGCTGTGATCTGCTGCGTGAGGGGGAGGTAGAGTCTGCTCAGCAGCCTACCACAGCAGGCAGGGCAGGGGGTGTCTCACTGTGGCCCCAGGTCGCTGGGCAGCGCCCACACGCCCTGGCTCCAAGCAGCTCTGGCAGCCAGAGTCGGGCTGCTCTGTGGCCTTGTTCTGCCTCCTTTCTCCCGAGAGCATGCACTGTGGGGACAGCTGCTCCAAAAGGTACATGCCCAGCACCACTGCCGTGCCCACCGCTGCAGCATGCTGTAGACCCCATGCACAGCACCTGCCTTGCCTGAAGACTACACTGAATTGAATGGCTACCCTCCAAAAAACACCATGGCCCCCAGAAAGTGTGAAAGTGACTTTGTTGGAGTATTTGCTGCTGCAATTAATAAAAGGGTCTCCCTATGGAGTCATCTTGGATTGGGATGGGCCCTAAATCCAATGGCAGACATCCTTGAGAAAGAGAGGGGGGCGGAATATGAATGAATGGATCAATGAATGAATGAAGGACTGGTAAGAAATGCAAGGAGCAGGTGATAATGAAGAAGAGGCAGAAGCCGGAGCTACAAGCCGTAAAGCCATAAGCCAAGGATGGCTGATAGTTGGCTCAAGTCCCAACCGAAACATGTTCCTGCAGAACTTCTGTAAGGAACCAAACCTGCCAACACCTTCACTGTTATTTTAAAAGGTTTATTTATTTTTATTGGAAAGGCAGATTTACAGAGAGAAGGAGACATATTCACTGGTTCACTTCCCAAATGGCACCAATGGCTGGAGCTGAGCTGATCCAAACTTAAAGACCCAGGAGCTTCTTCCCGGTCTCCCACATGGGTACAGAGTTTCAAGGCTTTGGGACATTCTCTACTGCTTTCCCAGGCCACAAGCAGGGAGTTAGAAGGGAAGGAGAGTAGCCAGGATACAAACAAACGCCCATATGGAATCCTGGCTCATGCAAAGTGAGGACTTTAGCCACTAGGTTACCACACTGGGCCCCTGGCCCTTCAGGATGGTATAGAAAAGCACAAGTGAATACAGAATGCTGCAGCTTGAATGTGGCCTGTCCACCAAAGGATCACGTGCCAAATGCCTGCTTCCCAGGATCACCAGGTCACCAGGGTCACCAGGGTGGGAACCTGGGTGTTGAGTTGATGGGAACCATTAGCGCTGGGACCACTGAAGAGACTGAGGTCATGGGGCTCTGGCCTCCTGCGGGAAGTAGCGCAGTCTCCTGGAAGTGGATCAGTTCCATGAGCGTGGGAAACAAAGTAAGCCTATCTGCTCAGCTGCTTGCTTGTTAGCACAAGTGCCCATTTCCTTGCTGTGCCACCTTCAGGCTGTGAAACAGCAAGGGTCCGAAGCCAGACTCCCGAGGTCTCAGGCCACTGTGAGGCAAAGAAACCTCTTTTTACAAGTACCCATCCTCTGGTATATTTTTTACAGCAACACCCAACAGACTTGAAGCATCATTTATTTAGCCTTCTTTCAAATTAAAAAAAAAGTTACAATATGAAAACTTCCGGTGCTTCTACAGCATCCATCCCAAGCTAACAAGACAATTGCTACAAGCGACTGATCCCTTAATTGTTCCTGAGGGCAGGGCAGGTGCTTCAAGCTGTCCTCACTCCCTGGGAACACCCCCATTCAGCCACCTGCCTGTGTGCCTGACCCCGCTCACCCAAGTCCAGGTGAGAGGGCGAGAGTGTGCCAAGCGCCAGGCCAATGAGTCATCTCCCGCAAGACAGAGCCCGGCACCCCGAATACCTTAACTACTGTGGCGGCCGTCTGCATCTGGTCATCCTAATGACAAGGCAGGTGCTGCTCACCTCCTGCTCCCGCCAGCTGGCAGAAGAGGCCCAGTGAGGTGCAGTCATCTGCCCACAGCCACAAGGCTCTAAGCCACAGAGCCAAAGTCTGACTCCACATCCCTAACCCCCCCACCTGTGACCTCAGCCACATGAGGCGGACACTGTGGGGAAGCCTGCGCCTCAGCCAAGCTTCAGAAAGAAAGTGGGTGACAGAGGTCTGCGTGCCGACCAGCTGACAAACCGTCTGAGTTCAGGCAGTCAGCTGGGAGTTGTAAAAAAAAGATGCTGAAACGCTAACAAGAACAAAATGAGACAACAACAGCACAGCTGACATTTCCCATTCAAAAGGAGGGTTTGGTTTTGTTTTGTTTTTAAGGATATTTAGCCAATGTTAAAAACAAACACGACAAAAAAAGAAACACCTACAGCTTTTAAAACTATTCAAAACATTCAGAAATTGGAGTTAGCAGCATGGCTCGCCAGGCTAATCCTCCACCTTCAAGTGACAGTATCCCATGTGGCCACCAATTCATGTCCCAGCTGCTCTGCCTCCATTCCAGCTCCTGCATACACCCTAGGAAAGCAATAGAGAATGGACCATATCCATGCAGGAGACCCAGAAGAAGTTCCTGGCATCAAATCGGCTCAGCTCTGACAGTTGCAGCCGTTTGGACAGTGAACCAGCAGGACAGAAGATCTTTCCCTCTCTGTAAATTTGCCTTTCAAATAAAATAAAGAAATGTTTAAAGAAAAAACCTTCAGAAACTAAGAAATAAATCTCTACATATTTAAATATCTATACATGTTTTTTCAAAGTCTTCCAGAACCCAAATTCCTCCAATACGGTGTACGGACAGCGAAATCAAGGACTCCGGATGTCTCTAAAGAATACACAAAAGCACCATAACAATGTGATGTGGCTTTGGATGCACCAAAAACAGAACATGCACATGCACAGCGTGACATCCTTAGTAAAGTAGTCTTAGTCCCACCCCCAAGCCCGAGAAGTACTGAAGTCATTGCAGTACATACCTGTCAGCCATGTTTCTCCACTTGAAAAGCAAATGAGTTTCAGAATCACCAATAGGCAGGCTCAATCGCTCTTTAAAATACTTAATGACGCCTTGTCCCTCTAGCAGCATAGGCACTCGGTATGTAGAAGAAACATCATGGATACAGATGACCTGATCAGTGATGAGAAAATATCACTTTTTACTGCATTGACCTGACCCAACTACCACTCAACAATGAAAGCATCTCAGGAGGGCTCAGTGCAATGGCGCCGTTGGCCAATCCTCCACCTATAAGCACCAGGATCCCATATGGGTGCTGGTTCCTGTCCTGGCAGCTCTACTTCCCATCCAGCTCCCTGCTTGTGGCCTGGGAAAGCAGTTGAGGACAGCCCAAAGCCTTGGGACACTGCACCCACGTGGGAGACCAGGAAGAGGCTCCTGGCTCCAAATGAGCTCAGCTCGTGGCACTGTGGCCAGCTGGGGAGTTAACTAGTGGATGGAAAATCTTTTTCTATCTTTTCTATAACCTTGTCTTTCCAATAGAAATAAATAAATCTTTTTAAAAAAATTCCTGGGGCCCTATGCGGTAGCCTAGTAGCTAAAGTCCTCACCTTGCATGTGCTAGGATCCCATATGAGCACCAGTTCATATTCCACCGGCCCCATCTCCCAATTAGCTCCCTGCCTATGGCCTGAGAAAGCAATCAAGGACAGCCCACAGCCTTGGGACCCTGCACCCGTGTAGGAAATCAAGAAGAAGCTTTGGGCTCTGGGCTCCGGGCTCCAGGCTCTTAGCTTTGGATCAGCTCAGTTCTGGCCGTTGCAGCCACTTGGGGAGTGAATCAGTAGACAGAAGATGCTCCTCTCTGTATATCTGACTTTCCAAAACAAAATAAACTAAAATGAAACAAAAGATATTTATTTAAAAATTCTCAAAAGACAGTGGTAGATTATCTGTTCAAAAAAAAAAAAAGAAGGGCCTGGTGGCGTGGTCTAGTGGCTAAAGTCCTCGCCTTGAACACCCCGGGATCCCATATGGGCACCGGTTCTAATCCCGGCAGCTCCACTTCCCATCCAGCTCCCTGCCTGTGTCCTGGCTTTGAATCGGCGCAGCACCGGCTATTGTGCTCACTTGGGGAGTGAATCATCAGACGGAAGATCTTCCTCTCTGTCTCTCCTCCTCTCTGTATATCTGACTTTCCAATAAAAATAAATAAATCTAAAAAAAAAAAAAAAAAAAAAACACTGCTGGGAGAGCCAGTTTTAGGCTCCTCCTCCTATTTAAAAAAAAAAAAACAATGGAGACCAGCATGAATACTCAACTAACTAATCCTTCACCTTGCAGTGCCAACACCCCATGAGCAACAGTTCCTATCCCAGCTGCTCCAGTTCTCACCCAGCAGTGGGAAAGCAGTTGAGGATGGCTCAAGGATTTGGGTCCCTGCACCCACACGGGAGACCTGGAAGAAGCTCCTGGCTCCTGGCTTTGGATTGGTTCAGCCTGAAGTACAGCATCGCACAGGATTCACATCCCAGCTGCTCCACTTCTAATCCAGCTTCCTGCTATTACACCTGGGAAAGTAGCAGAGCGTGGCCCAAGTGCTTGGGCCTCTACCACCATGTGAGACCTAGTTGGAGTTCCAGACACTGACTTCAGCCTGGCTCTGTTCCAGGACATTGCAGCCATTTAGAGAGTGAACCAGCAATTGGAGGAACTCCTGTTTTCTCTCTCTGTAACTCTGTCTTTCATGTAAATCCATAAATATATATATTTTAAAGAAAGAGATACTAATGGGCTTCACATGGCTCTCTCTGGGGATGACACCGCAGCCTGGTGTTATCCTTTTAACACAGAGTGGTCACACGAAGAAGCAGGTGTCCTATTCAGAGTGCAGCCTCCGACTGTTTACCTGGTGGCGGGGGAGCTGTGGGGCCTCACGCGGTGATGCAGCAGCCAGAAGGAACAGGCAGCAGCACACAAGTGCTTGCAAAATAATAAAGTCTGCCACTGAAGATGGCACCAACCTGTTCAGGCTTCACGTGACAAAACATGGAAATCTTCTCCTTGACGGGCATCTCTATGGGCGTCGAACTGCGGCAGATGATCTGCAAAGGCAGTTTCACATGGTCAGCGAGCAGGAGCGGCGGCTAAGTGGCTGTTCACTTGCAGGATGCCAGAGTACGTGCTCATTCACGCTGGGCATTCCACGGACTCTCAGAAATTGGGCTGAGCAAGTCTGATCAAACTCAAACTATCAGTAGGAATGCAAAGGGCAAGATGTCTTTGGTGAGCAGGCAAGCAAACAAGTGTCACTTCAGTAAACACAAGAAAAGCACTACAACGAGGTCAACAAAAAGTTTCTCTAGAAGGCCGAGTGGAAACAGTTCAAGTTTGCAAGTCATGCAGTCACTGCCCTGATGGCTGACAGTGCCATGACAGTGTGAAAGCAGCTACAGACAAACACACGGGTGCGACGGTGTGCCAAGAAACAGGCAGCCGACTCCTGATCTAGCAGTTGGCAACAGGTGGAGAACATGCTGTGAGGGACATAACCATTTAGACAAAAAAAAGAGAGCAGGGACAGCCCACCCTAGCAGGACCACAGGAAAGTCCCGAGGTTGCATCTTCACTCTAAAGAATCCAGAACCAGAAAAATGACAGGAGCCCACGCTTGCCCCGCTGTCAACGGAGCCGGTCCCGGGAGAGCCTGGAGAAGACAAGATGGCCAATTGATGTGACACCTGGGATCCGGGTGAGCCTTCACTGGCTCCCAGACACAGAAGGCCCATTGTCAAACGACCCACATAAGAGCCACAAAGAAACCCAACAATGCCACAGATCAACAAAGGAAGTTCCACGGCCAAGAGACCTTGGAGACGAACTTGCCTGCGCAGTTGAACTCACCAGATCGGGAGACAGGCCGAGCCCCCTCAGCGCACGGACACTGATCTGGGTGGGTTTGGTTTTTTGTTCTCCGGTAGCACTGGGCTGAAAAGCAAAGGGTCTCTTTCAGTACAATGGCCAGCCAGATTCTCTGGCTAGCCTGTGGCCCCCCAGGTTCCAAAAGGAGCACACAGAGCATCACAGGCAAATGTCACAAAGTCACCATTCCCACACTCACTCCCCACTCACCTGTGGGACAAGGCTGACGTGAATGGTACAGAAGTTCTCCCTTTTTGCTTTAAACTGGAACTGTCTGAATGCTTCCACGAATGGCATTCCTTCAATGTCTCCAATGGTGCCTCCCAGCTGCCGGTGGAGAGCAAAAACATGCAAATGACCAGCCATCCTCCAGAGTACACAGACAGAAAAGTCCTTGATGCAGCAAGCACCATAAGAACTGAAGACTGGTGATTGCACAGGAGCAGGAGTGCACAGACAGCTCCAAATCAATGAATTACACACTGAAAATAGGTGAAATTTGTGATCTACAAATTAAAACTTCAATGCAGTTGAATAACATGGGGGAAATCAGTTGAGGGGAAGGAATTTGGGGAGAAGGTAAGGGAAATGCCAGAGCCTATGGAATTGTATCATAAAATTAAAAATGAAATGGAAGATAAAAAATGAAAACAGCAAATATTGTACATTTCAGAGGGAGATGAAAGAAGGGAAAGAGAAAATGGTGACTGGAAACTGAGAGAAGCAGAAAAGGGGCAGGTCCGGGACACGGCCACAGGCTAACCCTTGCCCAGAGCCCACGCTCAGTGAGCGCCTGTGCTCAGCCAGCAGCCTGCCGCCCAGCTGGGGAGCCACAAGGGGCTCTGCCTCCTGCCTAGCCCGAGCCCAGCCCCGCTGCTGTATGCGCTTCGGGAACAACAGAAGCTAGCTTCAACCAGTGGTCAGAGTTGGAAGGCAAACAAGCCCAGTGAGAATGTGAAAAGGCGAAAGCTCCCTTACTCAGGTTGGATCTAAACAGTGAGTATTCGCCCATTCCCTGCCTCTCTCTGCTCTCACGTACACACACTGTACACGTACCTACATGTATTTAAACAGCCTGCTGGCAATATTGGTATTACTAGAACTAAATCACCATTATTAAAATATGCTGGCTTTCTGAGACAAATAGTATCCAAAACTCCATGATTCGGTAATCCTCCGGTAAATGTCAACTTAATTTACAATGTACTCCCAGTAAAGTGTTTTATCCTAAGAAAAAATAACCTTAACCCATTCATCCTCACCATATTTAAATGCTTAAATACCATGACGTGGATAACTATATGCTCAACACTCTGAGATTCTGGAAAGAACTCAACAGACAGCACTCCTAGCCAGTTGTGACTTCATCCAGGAGAACAGTAAAACAGAGCTACCATTGTGGCATAGTAGGTTAAGCTGCTGTGGGCATCCCACAGGGGCACCTGCTTCAGTCCTGGCTGATCCACTTCTGATCCATATCTCTGCTCATGGTCTGGGAAAGCAGAGAATGGTTCAAGTGGTTGGGCACGTGGGCGATCACCCCAGACCTCTGCCTTGCTACCTGGAGGGCATGGCTTAAGCCTAACCTTCCCCATGACCTGAGGCACAGCCTTCAGGCCTACACATGGAATGTGACTTCCAACATGGCTATGAGGTCAAGGGGAGTAAACCTGAACATGACCTCTGACATGCAGGAAGATCTAGGGAGATAGAACTGTCATACAGCCAATTACAGCATCTTTGGTGGGCAAGGGGTCTGCCGGAAGGCTCCCTCCTGCCCTCCCCTTCCTTACCCTTTAAAACCTGTAACCTGTGAGTAATAAAACGCACATTCCTCACCAGCTTGTCTCCGGTGGTCCTTGCAGCCGAAGGCCACCATCTGCCTCACCCTCGGTGACCTTGGGGCCTGCTGGCAGGCCTAAACCCAGAGACCTGCACTCATGTGGGAGACCCAGAAGAAACTCCTGGCTTCAGCCGGGCCCAGTCCTGGCAATTGCAGCCATCTGGGAAGTGAACCAGCGAATGCAAGATTCTCTCTTTTATGTAAACAAGTGAAATTTGACCTGAGAGTGGAATGATGTGTTGTTAGAGAAGAAGAGGTCGGTTCCGGCTTACCCCTCTCACCCCAGATCTACTCCTCACACCACCCTCGCCTACAGGGGCTTACTGAGCACTGGAACCCCAAGTCCTCGACATCTTGGCTAATCATTAGTTACTCGAACCTGAAGCATCCCAAACTGAAGCGCTGTCGCCTGCAAGCTCTGCCCTCCCTCCTCCTTGCACAACCCAGGCCGCACTGCTCTCGGGCGCCACACACCCTATACACATGGATAGCATCACTGCGTGCTACCAGAATGACAGCCGTCCAAACCAAGGGCCAGTAGACTCCGACGCACGGTCAGTTCTTTCTTGCAATTATTACTTATTTTAGGTTGGCACAGCAGTTCCACGAGCTAAGTCTTCTATCTGCAAGCTCCCACATCCCATATGTGTGCCACTTTGAGTCCTGGCTGCTCCACTTCCCATCCAGCTCCCTGCCTGTGGCCTGGGAAAGCAGTCGAGGACGGCCCAAAGCCTTGGGACCCTGCACCCACATGGGACAATCAGAGAAGGCTCCAGGCTCCTGGCTTCAGATTAGCTCAGCTCTGGCTGTTACAGCCACCTGGGGAATGAATCAGCAGATGGAAGATCTTTCTTCCTGTCTCTCCTCTCTGTAAACCTGCCTTTCCAAAAAATCCTTTTAAAAAATATTATTTATTTCCTTTTTATCTGAAAGATAGAGACAAAGATCTGCCTTCTACTGCTTCCCTAGCTGAGTGCGTGTAGCAATCAGGGTGGGCCAGGCCAAGCCAGGAGCACTTGAGCCATACCTCTTACCTCCCAGACTGGCATCAGCAGGCAGGTGCACTCAGGAGTAGTGGCAGGACCTGAAGCTGCAGGCCTGGCTCTGGGACCCGGACACCTCCCTGGCAGTGTCTCCACCACTGCACCAACTGCCGGCCCCTAGGGAGCCATTTCCATCCGCTTCCAGTCACACTGCCATGCACATTCACCCAGCAGCATCTACAGCTGCTCCCATGGTACAGGGCAGGGCTGAGTGATTGTGGCAGACCCACAAAGCGGACAGGTCCCGAGCAGGCCCACTGCAGGTGAGGTGGGACTCCCAGGCCAAGCATCCTCTTGGCTCTCACCCTCCCCATCCTCCTAAGCCCAAGCCATGGGACCCCCTCAGGCACGGTGGCCTTTAAACTCAGAACATCACTCCCACGCTGACACTCCCTGGGGCTCACTGCTTTACTCAAAAGCAAATGGAGACTCCTACATGCAGCCAGCGATTGGCCCTACAGATGCTGCTCATGCAGGACGATGCAATCTGTCTGCGTCCCTAGAACCTGCCCTCTGTGCCTGAGCCCCTGGGGCTTTGGGTCCTCCAGGGGCACAGTCCACTACCCGCTGACTAGCTGGCACGGTGTGAAAAGTAAACAGCAAAAGTAACACTGTACTCAGTTCTCAGGACCACCTTGCCATGAAAGAAACTCCACTAACTTTAGTATAGTTCAAGGTCCCTGGGCATGGAACAGGCAGAGATTATGATCCTTCTGTAAAAGAAGGAAACATTATGAAACTGTAAGAAGCAAAATGTATTCCACGCAATCAGCAGTTGGGAAAGGTTGGGGGTAAAAGTGCTAACTGCAATGCGCCAGAATCTAATGGGGGGACCTTTTCAGGGCAGCTGGGAAGAAGCCGCTCTTAAACTAAGCTACGTGTCGGGAACAGCATCTTCCTTTTCTGATGGGAATGCTATGAGCCAACAATGAATTCAGGAAGGAAGCCAACTTTAAACATTGTCCCCTTCTGCCCCCATATGGCCAACAGTAGTACTGCAGTCCCTCAGTCCTGTTCCCACACCTCTGGGTCAGTATTACAAATGTGTTAAGAAACTGATTTGTTCTCACATCATCAAGCCCCACCACTCCCTTATCAACAGTTTTGCTTCGCGTGGTTCACGTTACTCATGTTCAATCACACCATAAAAATGAGGGCTCAACGTGATGGCTCAATTGGCAAATCCTCCCCCTTCAAGCACCTGCATCCCAAATGGGCACCAGTTTGTTTCCCGGCAGCTCCACTTCCCATCCAGCTCCCTGCTTATGACCTAGGAAAGCAGTGGAGGATGGCCTAAAGCCTTGGGACCCTGCACCTGCGTGGGAGGCCCGGAGGAAGCTCCTGGCTCCTGGTTCCTGGCTTCGGATCAGCTCAGCTCCAGTCATTGCACTTAGGGAATAAACTAACAGATGGAAGATCTTTCAATATCTCCTTCTCTCTGTAAATCTGCCTTTCCAATAAAAAACACCTAATGAAAATTTTCATTCTAATTCAAATTGTAAATAACTTGACTATTAATTGTTCTATTTTTTGTTAATTTCTTACTCTCTTTTAATTTGTGAAGAAAAATTTACCTAAGGTATGTATGTGTAGGAGAGCCTAGCGCGTGGGGGCGGGGCGGGGGCGTGGCCAGTCTCCAGGTCTCCTGGAGTGCTTTGCAAACACCCCTTTGCCTACCTTAGATACGGAAGGACTACTGGATGAAGGCTTGAAGCAGCAACAAACATATGTGAAAAGCTGCTTTTCCCATTAATGAAGAGTCTCTATTTTTAGGGAGAAAATATTGTGGTTTCTTTAAAGGCAGGAGTCAAGGATTTTGGATGGCCGGAACCAAAATGGATGATGCCCACACACACCACTGGCAGGAGCAGCTGAGGCCCGGGGGGCACATCAACCAACAGCTCCCAGACACTGCCCGTGACGAGCCGGCTTCGCACAGCCCTTCCAGCGCCTACACAGGGGCTGTGCGGACCCACCTGCTGCACACGACCTGAAGCGAACCCAAGAGGATGCCATCCATGGAGAGCCTGAGGCCCGGTGCACCCATCACCACACCCAAGCAGCTGTCAGCAGGGCTAGCTGTGTAGCCAGACAAGCCAATTCAAGAGCACAGTAATTAACGACTAAAGCAGAAAGAACCCTAAGGCCCACAAGCTAAAGGTGGGTCTCCCAAAGTTTGTGCTAGCGGTTAACAGACTGACGTCAAAGCCAATGGATTAGCGGCGGGAACCGACACCAGTTACGGTGTGTGAAGGCGATCCCTTTGGCAAGTACAAGTGAATACCATGCCCTGCGCCCGGGCTAGAGCTCTGCAGTGTAACCACGGCGAGCACGTGCTCAGAGCCAGGCTGCTGCCTGCCCCTCAGTCTTCTGCCTGCTGCACAGACCACTTTCCACACACACACCCCCGGTTAACCCACTCAGCAAACACAACAGGTGCA